TGCTCGTTTGGAACCCGCGGATGTGAAATATCTAGGTCTCAACCCGGATAGGAAGCCTTCATGGAAGCCGAATATCGAAGAGAGAGTAAAACTGGCGTTGATTGCCTTGTACTGGTTTAAAAGAGCCATTGGCAAAAGGTAAGGTCTCACACCGAAATAGGTAGTCAAGCTAATTTTGTTCTATTGAATCTTTATGTGGTGGAGGATGGATGTAAGACCACACTTGTAAAGAAACCCGAGGGCGTGCAATGGGCGGCGCTCACAAAAATGTGTGGTGTACTAAGATCTACAGCCATCTTGCACATAGCATCTTGTAAGTTTGGGAATCTGCATGAAGTAAATGGATTAATTTTGTGACCCTTTTAGTATTACTTTTTGGAACGCACTTGGTGCAATTCTTTTCAAAACTTTTAACAATAGAAGAATGATTTCGCACCCAAAATTGAATGGATCTTTGTTGTTGAATAATTTCACTCACCGCAAAATTCGCCGAATGAACTTTAAGTACTTCAGAAAGATAAGCCAATACTAAACACTAATAATTACTTCGAAGTAATATTTGCCATTTGGTTGGTTGATAAGACTAAACAACCTAGAAAGAAAAAATTTCGACGAAGCGGTTTTCAGGCGATATTTAAATTGAAAAGTCACACTGTGTTTTATCCACAGGAGTACTTTCATAAGGAACATTTTTTTTATATATTAGTTTGTTATTTTTTTTTTGCGGTATTTTTATTGAATTTTCAATTGTTTTTTTTTTTTTTTTTTTTTTTTGATTTATTATAAATTTACAATTGTAGTGAATTTTAATATCTCGCTAAATACTATATGTTCCCTTTTTTTTTATCAGATTGTGGTGTTTTAAGGAGAGTTGTTATTGGAATTCGCTTGAATTTTTTGCTGGTAAGCTTAGAATACTATATTTAAAGCCCAACCTTGGTGAAGCCTTAGCGTGGAAATTGTTCAAAGTTTTGAAAATATTAAATATAGGTATATAGTATATATGTATGTAGAGTACGGTTTGCAGGTAGTAGCTGGACTACAATTTTCATGGGCTTTTCGTTATGCAGCTACATTGTACGCTGTTGACAGWATAAGTATATGTGTATATTCATACTTATGATACATATAGCATACAAGAATGCTCTAAACGCTACAAGTCGGCCATTCAAACCGACACTGCATACGGTAAAGCACAACATGCCTTAGTATGCGAATGCAATATTGGTTTGTGGGTTTGTAAATCAACTGGAAAAATTGTTGCAGACGAAATGCGTTGTTGGTGCTGGCTTTARGTGCCAAAGTCATCAGCTGGTGGTGTGCGTTGCAGCAAAAAAGAGTAAACTTTGGCAAATGTCACTCGAAGGGCACAGCGATCATTGATAATTCTTTCATTGGTTAGTGCAAAGCATTTTCGAAACTATTTATTATTGGAATTTTTGTGATGAGKGTTTAATAATAAAGTAGAGGAGTACGAAAACCAAGAGTAAATGGTAACAGAAGAAACTCGAAAATTTAGAAAATGGAGCAATTCGACTGAATCAAGAAGGTATAATCTTCTATGAGAGCATACAGCTGCTGGCTTACGCCGATGATTTCGTTATCATTGACCTTAACAAACACGCCGTTATTTCTGATGTCTCCCGATTGGACAAAGAACTGGCGTAAATCGGTATGGTAGTGATCGAGGGCACGTCACTGTTGACAGTCGTAGCTTCGAAGTCGTAGATAATTACGTGTTTCTTGAAACCAGCGCAAACACCAACAACAATGTAAGCCTCGAAACACAACGCAGGATAACTCTTTCCAACAGCTGCTACTTCGAACTGAGTAGGAAATTGAGAAATAAAGTTCTCTCTCGACGAACAAAAAGAAAACTCTATAAGTCACKCATAATAYCCTTACTGCTATATAGTGTAGAGGCTTGGACGATGACAACAAATAATGAGTGGACGTTGCGAGTTTTCGAGAGAAAAGTTCTGCCGAAGATTTATTGTCTTTAGAGTACATAGATAAGTATACTGACTTCAGAAATTTTGATTATCCAATTAAACAAATTTAAGATAAGCTCCACATTAATACAGTTCTACCTGTTTATGTTTATAAAAATATGAACGATATAAAAAAGTTATCTATCTGGTATCTTCTAAAAATGGAAACTGAAAGTTTTATTGCCCACTCAACTGTTCGGCAGAAACAAATTAGTAGCGAGAGAAAGCACTAACGAGGGTATAGTTGTTATGGCCTGTACACACACATACACACTGCATACATTTTCATAAGTATGCGTCAGTGCTTCTTGTAGAGTTGTGTGTGCGTGTAATCACTCGAACCATCATAAAAGTGTGCAAAAATGTCAATGAAGTGGAAAATGAACACTATCGGTCGAACTAGACTTAAAATTGTATGTGTGTGTGTGTAAATGTTAAAAGGAACTGTACTGTGTTTAGAGAAATTTTAATTTCCTTGCGCAAAAGTAAAATTTTACAGCTGAAATACAACGGTTCGTTAAAAATATACTCGTTGCATATTGCAGCCAATAGGCCTAGACATATTTCGTATTCATTTCAAAGCATGCAATTTGAAAATGAAAGCTAAAGTTAAATTAATAAAAATTAGTTTTTGGCAGGTAATATTGAAGCAGTTTCTATAGCAAAACCATATGTCATACAACATACTTAAAAAATGTGGGAAGATATGATTTATTTTAATACAATAATAAGGTGTACTAAAAGAAGATTTAAATCGTACTAAAAATTGTGTCTAAATCATTGCATGCACTTTGAGTACAAAATTTACAGTTTCGTTTGAAAATATATATTAAGAAAAATATTGTACAAAAATACGGCACTAAAATTTGTGGTGGTAAAAATTTTGTTTTTATGTATTTTGTATAATTTAATTGATGATTTAGAAGCCACACCTTTAAAAATAACATTTCTGTGTACTGAGTCTTGTAGCTTATACTTATTAATAGTCTACAAAAAATTTAGCTTAGAAGTTACAAAATTTACATAACTAAGCCAGTTTTATTTTCTTCTTAATGAAGCCATGAAGAGATGGACGGAAGTTTTTGTGTAAAGTATCCTAGTACATGAAGAACGAACTTTTAACGAAAGCTATTTTTATGAAAAGTATCACGATATCAATCATTTCGTCACTATTTGAAGTATACTAAATCGAGTCCCACAGTTTAGTACGAAAGAAAACTAAAATTTTAGAGCTTCCAATTTCATAAGAAAAGAACAGTTTTTCACGTACACTCTAGTTCAATGCTAAAGTTAGAATACACTTTTAGTACAACCGTCGCTAAAATTCTCCGGGTAAGTGATATTTCAAAATAATATGTTTTGCTAAGTTGGTAGGATTGTCCTTAATTACCATGCCTAGCATGAACGCGACCTGTCAATCAGTTTGTGTACAGCAGCTGCTTAAGTCGCTGCACTCCGATAGTGTGTTGCAATTTTTACAATGGATAAAAATATCGCAAACAGAATTTGCTCCACATTTTGTATTTATAACCAAATGTCGTGTGGGGAATCAGTGTGAAAGTTGAAAAAGCCTACGAGTGATACAAAGCCTTCAACTGTGGTCGACAGCTCGTTGAAGACATACATAGTTCTGGACAACCTTCGACCTCTTCAACTGATGTCAGTATTAAAAAAAGTGAAGGAAATGGTGATTGGAAAGTGTTAAGAAAGTGACTCGACATCTTTTGCGCGTTCGTCGAATGATTTTGGTGTACATTTGGGGTATGAAATGTGTTCTTGCTCGATTCGATCCGATAAAGCTGAATTTCCTTCAAAAATAGTATTATAAACAGGCCTCTTTGGACATGCTTGAAGTTGAGATTTCCGTTCTCACATTGATGGAGAGCATTATAAGCGATCGTTGGTATACTTGTATTACAACTGGTTGGTATTACCTTGAAAGTGAAAAAAATATATATTGATGAATAATTGAATATTTTGCATTTCATTTACAATTGYGGATATTTTTTCCACAATGAGTTTTTAATTAAAACGTTTATTAAACTTTATTATTAAAGCCATTTTGGATGGTTAAAAAATTAAAATAAAATATAGATTTAATTTGTTAAATTAGACAGCATAAATGAGATTTTTGCAAATCTAAAATTTTTTGAAATGGCATTAATAGGACCTGTCTCTTATACACATCTAGATGTGTATAAGAGACAGGCCAACACACTGTGACACCAACCCAAGTGTCCGTTCAAAGCGGAAAGAACCAAGCTGTAGACCAGCAGCTGGCAACCACTTGAAGTTGTCATCACCAAAACTGATGGCCAGCAGCGGTAACAAATGACTGCTGAAAA